CAGAAGGATACCATGGTCGATGGTATCGAAAGCCGCTGAGAGATCAAGGAGAACTAGGATGGACGCATGGCCTCCATCTCTGGCTCTCCAGAGATTTTTCTCCAAGACCTCAAACCATGTGGTCCTGTCCACCATTAAAACCATCTTTCCAAGCAGCTTCTATGTTTCCAGTGCCTTTTTCCCCACTTAGAACTGAACCTGGAAGGACATTTCTTCCAACAATAGCATTTCAGCTGTCCCTCATAGAACTTTGTCCCTTGTTGGAAGAAATGTCCTTCTGGGTTCAGTTCCACGTGGGGGAAAAAGACACTGGAGACATGGAGGCTGCTTGGAAAGATGGTTTTAATGGTGGTCAGGATCACATCATGGCTTGAGCTCCTGAACAGAAAAGGGAGATCAGATACTTCCAGATGTTGAGTGAAGAAGAAAAAGAGGCAGATATGCTGAAAGTCCCTGGTTTTATACCCTCTCTGGGCTTTGAACCTGAGCTTGTATTCTGATTGATTGTCAGACTCCCATGAGGCCATGCAGGGGCAACTCTGTAGGCTGTGTTTTGAATCCAAGTTTGGTTGAGCATTGCTTCTTCCCAGGTGCTCTGTGATGAGATGGGTAAAGGGCTAATATTATCATGCCTTAATCCCATCATCCTGGAGCTGAAGGAAGATCTTTGTTATATAGAATAGACTGGCTCAGGCCTTTTAATGGCCCATTGACAAAGATGGAGGCTATTAAGAGTGAGTCTGTTTCCTGCCTAAAAATACGTTTCTCCATTTCTTATCCAGGGAAATAAATATTCTGCCTTTTCGATATTTCCCAGGATATTTCATTTTTCTAGGAGAAGGGTGGGTTTTAACTTCCTACACCCCTTCTCTCCTTTTCCTTCCCTTCCCTTGCATTCATCTTTTCCTTCCTCCTTTCATCTTTCTTTTCCTTCCCTTCATCTTTTTCTTTGTTCATCTTCCTTTATTTCTCTTCCCTCTTCTTTCTACTTCCTTCCTGTTTACTTCCTCCCTCCCTCCCTCCCTTCCCATACTTTAAATACATTGTAGATGAGATGAGGGGGCATAATAAATTTTATTTCAGTCTCACATGAAGTGAAGAAAAGGGAGTTTTGCTACTCAGGCTCCAGGCACAGGCAACATTTAAATAATGTTTTTTGCTTCTTAGGCTCAGTGTTTTGAAGGTGGCAGAAATAGAGAAAAAAGTCCAAGGGGATTGGGGACTGCCTTTAAACTCCTTTTGAAGGACTGATGGGGTCCCTCCTTTTGCCATATATGTGGCAATTTTTGGAAAACCAGTGGCACTTGGAAACTAAAATGGAAGGCTTGTCTTCTCTTCTTCCATTGTTCTTCACTCTCTTGGTATGCAGGACTGGCCTTGAGTTCTCTCTACTTCCACCCACAAAACCCGATTTTCTGAAAGGCACTGCAGTTGTGGGAGCTGTCAAATGTTTGTTTTATTGCACTCTTAGAGAAAATTGGACAGGGAAGAACTGGAGCGAGAGCGTGAGGAGGCTCAAAAGGAAGTAGAAATGCTGGAAAAAATGAAAGAAGAAGAACTTTTGATTCAGCAAAAGCTGGAAGTGGAGAGACAGGTAGGACACCTTTCTTTTTTTT